CTGCTCTTAACGGTGCTTTCTAAACAACTGAGACGCCATCTGCTCCACATCAGCCTGCTGATGTTTTCCCATGACCTCCCATCACGTTCACATCTGCACACACACTCCCTGCCGTATATAACTTAATTACTGTGTGTACTGCACACACTCACAGCTCCTGCAACTCATAATTTTGCTGCTCTGCTTTCAGAGATTTCATCTCAGAAACGCAACGTCATCTTAAAAGTCCGCAGGCCGGGTGTAGATCTCCATCACAGGCCACTCAAACGGCTAATTTTGTATGCTAACTCTAATTTCGTGCTCCACTGAAATATTAAACTATTTATTCATTGGGTAAATATTCGGCTTTAGAGACTTTAGAGATCTTAGAGACCTTTTTTTTAATCTGGGAGGAAACAAAAATGTGGAATTGCTCAACAAACCCACGTGCTCTGCAGGAATGCATCAGTCATACCACATACAAATCTCTAAGTCTAGACTTTGGGCTGTATAAAAAAACGGATGTTTACTCTAGGGATCAATATTTGCTGGAAACTATTGGACTTTCCTTTAGTCGCCCTGTTGTAGCAGACTTATGACTTATGTTAGATGTACCCATCAGTGTTTGGACTCGACCACGTTTTTGCTTATTTTTGAGGCTTTTTAGCGGCTGTAGAAGTCTTTGATTGGTTCTCTTGTTTGTACTGTAGCATCTCTGTGCACCACACTGGTCTGGTGATTGGCAGCTGTATAGACAGTGTAAAAGATGGATGTAGCCGTTGTGACCCAACGGTTTCTGAAGTCCTGTTATGAAGCCTTGAGCTGAGTGTTTTCACCAAAAAAATGTAACAACCTATGAAACGGCTTCTCATTCAGAGGTTGTTAGCCAATAAGAATCCTCCTTTCTGACTCTTTACGTTATAAAAATGTACAACATAGACTTAATATAAATAGACTTTGTGACTGAGGTCAGAGCAAAGAGCTGTTTAACAGCAGACTTTTATAGGACCGGAAATCTTCTGCCATCCACAGGTATCGCCCCCTGGTGGCTGTTTAATAGACTGCAGGTTTAAGGCGCTTTACCACTGGCTTCACTTTTAAGTGACGGCAGCTGTCCATCTTTATGCTATATTTGAGTTGTTAACATGTTGTTATTTCAGCTGTTTAATAGTAATGTAGAGGTTTACACAGTGGCCTAAACAGTAAAAGATCTCAGATCCTGGTGGGAAACTTGAAACTCTTTTGAGATCGCATCATGAAGGACATCTGGCATAAAAATCTGCAAATTCAAACATGCTGAGCTACCCACCATGGCGACTCTTTGTTAATCAGGCAGCAGCTGAAAGTCTTTTATGTTATACTACATCCTGCCAAACCCTGCCAGACAAGTTTTTTAAGATGATGAATAATTTAAAGACTGTTTGTAATTATGAAATTCATGACCAGCTGTGCTGTCAGCCACTGGTCACAGAGGTTTTACCATTTCACCATCATGACATTTTAAAACTAGAAGGGACAAGCAAGGGGTGGATGTGACTGAGAAAGTAAGCGAAACTGCAATCAATCACTATTGCAAGTTAGCATCACCCTAAAGCAAAACTTGTCGACCTTCTATTTCAGTCTCAACTGGTCCATCACTTACAAAACGAGCGTTGTGTTCTGTTCAATAAGACTTTAAACTCACGATTGAGGCTGTAAAGTCACCCGGAGAGTGTTTAGCGAGCTCGTAAATCAAAAGAGCAGAAGGGTCGTTTTCTCATAGAGGCAACACAACTGGGTTTGTTTTTGCAGACAGAGAATACGCCTCCCTATAGACACATCCACACTGGCTTCACTATTCAGACCTGGAAGTAAGGATAACTGGACCAATTTATATAAAGCATCAGGTAATTAGTTCAATATCCCAAATATTACTTTACAACATAAAGTAAGTATTTAGAAAAGACTTGGGT